CTATTCATACGAATCTATCCTAAAAATGATGTCGGCATTAAATAACCCATTGAGGATGAAATGCCGTAAAACAAAATAAACCAAACCAATCTAAACCAAAGAATACATATTCTATTCATACGAATCTATCCTAAAAATGATGTCGGCATTAAATAACCTATTGAGGTTGATATGCCGTAAAACAAAATAAACCAAACCAATCTAAACCAAAGAATACATATTCTATTCATACGAATCTATCCTAAAAATGATGTCGGCATTAAATAACCCATTGAGGATGAAATGCCGTAAAACAAAATAAACCAAACCAATCTAAACCAAAGAATACATATTCTATTCATACGAATCTATCCTAAAAATGATGTCGGCATTAAATAACCCATTGAGGATGAAATGCCGTAAAACAAAATAAACCAAACCAATCTAAACCAAAGAATACATATTCTATTCATACGAATCTATCCTAAAAATGATGTCGGCATTAAATAACCCATTGAGGTTGATATGCCGTAAAACAAAATAAACCTAACCAAACTCTCTATCTATCTATTTTTCTTCACTCCCACTTCACATTCTCTTAGTTTTTTCTTTATTTTTTTGGTTTTTCTTCCCTTTTATCATCACTTCATTTTATTTTTCCATTATATTTCCGTATCTTTATTTTATTTTGTCACAAATACTGAAAAGATTCTTTCTACTTACATTTCTTTAGCCCTTTCTTTTACTCTTGGTCTATCTGCCTCCTATTTGCCTATTACAATGTCCTCCAGCTTTTCTCACTATGTTTCATTTGTTTAGTTCCATCTTTTTTTTTTTTTTTTGCTTTTCGGGTTCACTAGTTTTTATCTTTTTCCTCCATTTTTTCTTTCTTTCAATTTTTCTTTCTTTCTTTACTATCATTTCAGTAATTCATTTGATGTTTGTTTATTCGTTTATTCATTTCTATATTGCTTGCTTCTTTTTACTTTACTTCATTTTCATATCGTCCTGTTTTTGTATTTCTTTCTTCTTTTCTTCCTTTGTTTGTTTGTTTCTTTCTTTCTTTCTTATTCCTTCTTTCTTTCCTTCCTTTATTCGTGTATTTCCATTTTTTCTTTTTAGCTTGTTTTTATGTCATTTAATTCCTTCGTTTTTTCTTTCTTTCTTCACTCTCACTTCTCAGTTGTTTCTTCTTTCCTTCTTTCTTTCCTTCATTCTTTCCTTCTTTCTTTCTTTATTGCTTGGTTTTCTTTCACTTTTTCTTCATTTCATTTCTGCATCATATTTTCCTCTTTTCATTTTATATCTTTCTCTTTCTTCTTTTGTTTGTTGTTTACTTACATACTTGGTATATCACTTCATTCTGGTTTACATAATCTCCTTCCTTCCTTCCTTCCTTCCTTCCTTCCTTCCTTCCTTCCTTCCTTCCTTCTATCCTGCCTCCCAACCTTCTTTCCTTTCTCCCTGCCTCTCACCCTTCCTTCCTTCATTCCTTCCTGCCTCCGACCCTTCCTTCCTTCCTACCTGCCTCCCACCCTTCATTCCTTCCTCCCTGCCTCCCACCCTTCCTTCCTTCCTGCCTCCACCCTTCCTTCCATCTTGCCTCACCCTTCCCTTCCTTCCTTTCTCCCTGCCTCACACCCTTCCTTCCTTCCTTCTTCCCTGCCTCCACCCTTCCTTCCTTCCTTCCTGCCTGCCTGCCTCCAACCCTTCCTTCCTGCCTCCCACTCTTCCTTCATCCCTGCCTCCCACCCTTCCTTCCTTCTTCCTTCCTTCCCCTGCCTCCCACCCTTCCTTCCTTCCTCCCTGCCTCCCACCCTTCCTTCCTTCCTCCCTGCCTCCACCCTTCCTTCCTTCCTGCTCCCCACCCTTCCTTCCATCCTGCCTCCCACCCTTCCTTCCTTTCTCCTGCCTCCCACCCCTTCCTTCCTTTCTCCCTGCCTCCCACCCTTCCTTCCCTTCCTTCCTTCCTTCCTTCCTTCCTTCCTTCCTTCCTTCCTTCCTGCCTCCCACTCATCCTTCATCCCAGCCTCCCACCCTTCCTTCCTTCCTTCCTTCCTTCCTTCCTTCCTTCCTTCCTTCCTTCCTCCCACCCTTCCTTCCTGCCTGCCACCCACCCTTCCTTCCTTCCTGCCTCCCACTCATCCTTCATCCCAGCCTCCCACCATTCCTTCCTTCCTTCCTTCCTGCCTGCCTCCCACCCCTTCCTTCCTTCCTTCCTTCCTTCCTTCCTTCCTTCCTTCCTTCCTGCCTCCCCTCATCCTTTCATCCCAGCCTCCTTCCTTCCTTCCTTCCTTCCTTCCTTCCCTTCCTTCCTTCCTTCCTTCCTGCCTCCCACCCTTCCTTCCTGCCTGCCACCCACCTTCCTTCCTTCCTGCCTCCCACTCATCCTTCATCCCAGCCTCCCACCATTCCTTCGTTCCTTCCTTCCTGCCTGCCTCCCACCCTTCCTTCCTGCCTGCCTCCCACCCTTCCTTCCTTCCTCCTCCCTGCCTCCCCCCTTCCTTCCGTCCTCCCTGCCTCCCACCCTTCCTTCCTTCCTCCCTGCCTCCCAACCCTTCCTTCCTTCCTTCCTTCCTTCCTTCCTTCCTTCCTGCCTCCCACCCTTCCTTCCTCCCTGCCTCCCACCCTTCCTTCCTTCCTTCCATCCTTCCTTCCTTCCTTCCTTCCTTCCTGCCTCCCACCCCTTCCTTCCTCCCCTGCCTCCCACCCTTCCTTCCTTCCTTCCTTCCTTCCTGCCTGCCTCCCCACCCTTCCTTCCTTCATACCTGCCTCCCACCCTTCCTTCCTTCCTTCCTTCCTGCCTCCCACCCTTCCTTCCTTCCTCCCTGCCTCCCACCCCTTCCTTCCTCCCACCCTTCCTTCCTTCCTTCCCCTTCCTTCCTTCCTTCCTTCCTTCCTGCCTGCCTGCTCTCCCACCCTTCCTTCCTGCCTCCCACTCTTCCTTCATCTCTGCCTCCCCACCCTTCCTTCCTTCCTTCCTTCCTTCCTTCCTGCCTCCCACCCTTCCTTCCTTCCTCCTGCCTCCCACCCTTCCTTCCTTCCTCCCTGCCTCCCACCCTTCCTTCCTTCCTCCCTGCCTCCCACCCTTCCTTCCTTCCTGCCTCCCACCCTTCCTTCCATCCTGCCTCCCACCCTTCTTCCTTTCTCCCTGCCTCCCACCCTTCCTTACTTCCTCCCCTGCCCCCACCCTTCCTTCCTCCCTTCCTTCCTTCCTTCCTTCCTTCCTGCCTCCCACTCATCCTTCATCCCTGCCTCCCACCCTTCCTTCCTTCCTTCATTCCTTCCTTCCTTCCTTCCTTCCTTCCTTCCTTCCTGCCTGCCTCCCACCCTTCCTTCCTTCCTTCCTTCCTTCCTTCCTTCCTTCCTTCCTGCCTGCCTCCCACCCTTCCTTCCTGCCTGCCTCCCACCTTCCTTCCTGCCTGCCTCCCACCCCCTTCCTTCCTTCCTCCTGCCTCCCACCCTTCATTCCTGTCCTCCCTGCCTCCCACCCTTCTTTCCTTCCTTCCTTCCTTCCTTCCTTCCTGCCTGCCTGCCTCCCACCCTTCCCTCCCCTGCCCCCCCCTTCCTTCCTTCCTCCCTGCCTCCCACCCTTCCTTCCTTCCTTCCCTTCCTCCCTGCCTCCCACCCTTCCTTCCCTTCCTTCCTTCCTTCCTGCCTGCCTGCCTCCCACCCTTCCTTCCTGCCTGCCTCCCCCCCTTCCTTCCTTCCTCCCTGCCTCCCACCCTTCTTTCCTTCCTTCCTTCTTTCCTTCCTTCCTTCCATCCTTCCTTCCTCCCACCCTTCCTTCCTCCCTGCCTCCCACCCTTCCTTCCTTCATCCTTCCTTCCTTCCTTCCTTCCTTCCTTCCTTCCTTCCTGCCTCCACACCCTTCCTTCCATCCTTCCTTCCTTCCTTCCTCCCTGCCTCCCACCCTTCCTTCCTTCCTTCCTTCCTTCCTTCCTTCCTTCCTTCCTTCCTCCCACCCTTCCTTCCTTCCTCCCCTGCCTCCCCACCCTTCCTTCCTTCCTCCCCTGCCTACCACCCCCTTCCTTCCTTCCTTCCTTCCTTCCTTCCTTCCTGCCTGCCTGCCTGCCTCCCACCCTTCCTTCCTTCCTGCCTGCCTCCCACCCTTCCTTCCTGCCTCCCACCCTTCCTTCCTTCCTGCCTCCCCACCCTTTCTTCCTGCCTCACCCCTTCCTTCCTTCCTCCCTGCCTCCCACCCTCCCTTCCTTCCTTCCTTCCTTCCTTCCTTCCTTCCTTCCTTTATTTATTTATTTATTTCAATTTTTTTCTTTTCAGGCTTACGTGATTTTATCTCTTCTATTTTCCATTATTTCTTTCTTTCTTTTTTTCTTTCTTTACTTTCAATTTTTTCCTTGATTTATTTGTGAAATTTTATATTCCCCTTCTTTTCTTTCTTTGTTTCTTTTCTTTGTTTATTTCTTTCTTCGCTGGTTCCTTGTTTTTTTTGTTTTTCTTCACTTCATTTCACTTTTCCATCATATTTTCCTGCCTTTATTTGTATTTCTTTCTCTTTTGTTTGTTTGTTCGTTTCTTTCATTCTTGATACATCACTTACTTTCTTTCTCTCTATCTTTCTTTCTATATCACTTCTATCTTTATTTATTTCTTTCTCTCTTTCTTTCTTTCTTTCTTTCTTTCTTTCTTTCTTTCTTTATCGTTTCATTGTTTTTCCGTTTTGTTTATTTCTTCCTTTTTGTTTGTTTCTTTCTGTCTTCCTATATCGTTTCTTTCTTTCTACCTTTCTATATCGCGTCTTTCTTTCTTTTTTCTTTCTTTCTTTCTTGCTCTCTTTCATTTTTCTTTCATTCCATAGTGCTTCTTTCTGTCTTTTTTATACCGTTTTTATCTTTCTTTGTATATAGTAACTTTCGTTCTTTCTCTTTTATTTTATACATCATTTCTTTCTTTCTTTCTTTCCATAGTGCTTCTTTCTTTCTTTTTTGTATCGTTTTTATCTTTCTTATTTGTATACAGCATTGTTTTCTTTCTTTTTTCTTTGTTTCTACATCATTTCATTCTTTCTTTTTCGTTCACTCTTTCTTTATTTCTTTCTTTCTTTCTTTTCTTTCTTTCTTTCTTTCTTTCATTCTTCTTTTCTTTCTTTCTTTAAATATCGTTTTTCTTTCCTTCTTTTTTCTTTCTTTCTTTCCATACAGCTTTTTCTTTCTTTTTTTTCGTTTTTTCTTTCTTATTTTATACATTGTTTTTCTTTCTTTTTTTTTTGTTTCACATCATTTCATTCTTTCTTTTTCGTTCACTCTTTCTTTCTTTCTTTCTTTCTTTTTCTTTCTTTCTTTCTTTCTTTCATTCTTCTTTTCTTTCTTTCTTTAAATATCGTTTTTCTTTTTCTTTCTTTCTTTCTTTCTTTCTTTCCATAGTGCTTCTTTCTTTTTTTTATATCGTTTTTCTTTTTCTTTCTTTGTATACACAATGTTTTCTTTCTTTTTTCTTAGTTTCTACATCATTTCTTTCTTTCTTTTTCTTTCACTCTTTCTTTCTTTTGTCTTTTTCTTTCTTTCTTTCTTTCTTTCTTTCTTTCTTTCTTTCTTTCTTTCTTTCCATTCTATATTTCTTCATATTTGACTCCTTTTCTCCAAATTCCACCGTTTCCGATACTTTCTTGATTCAATCTTTTATAAAGACATTTTCCGAAGCACTTTCCTAGATTTGATAAAATTAGAATAAAACATCTTCACAATTTTACTCCCCCCCTCCATCATAGAATGGGAAAATTTAGCGATCGCTTTGAACGCCGTATTTGTGGGATGTTAATCCGAATATATACCGTTGCTTATTTGTGGGGGTGCGTTTGCATATTTGCTGTATTTCAGTCAATAAATCTATGTAGAAAATGGATGGCAGAGAAAAGGCAGGACTTGGAAATGAATAAATAAATATTTAAATAAATATGTGACAAAATGTTCTAAAGAAAGGATGAAAGTGAATATCAGAAAGGACATTGAACAGAAAGGGAATCAAGAAACGTTGTTTGGGCAAGAACAAAAAGGCTGAAAGAAAGGAAAGAAAGAAGGAAGGAAGGAAGGAAGAAAACAAACAAATAATTGAAAGGAAAAGAGAAATGTAAGTTTTATAAGTTATAAAAGAAAAGGAAAAAAAATTGAAATAGAATAAGATAGAAAGTGAAAAAAGGGGAAGAAGAAGACAGTAAAGGAAATAAGAGGAACGAAAAGGAAAGAAATGAAAAAAAAAAGATGTAAAGGAAAAAAAGAGAAGTGGAATCAACAGATGAGAAGGAAAAAAGGAAAGTAAAAGGAAAAAAAAGAAGAAGAAAAGAAGCTAGGAAAATAAAAAGGGAAGAATAAAGAAAACGGAAACAAAGTAATGCTATATTTATCTGGCTATCTGTTCAACTATCTGTCTATCTATCAACTTATATCTATCTATCTATCTATCTATCTATCTATCTATCTATCTATCTATCTATATATCTATCTATGTAAATGTTCATATCTATCCATCTATCTAGCATGCTAGCTAGCTAGCTATCGAGATCAACTTATTCATATCTATCTAATCTTTATCATATCTATCTATCTATCTATCTATCTATCTAGCTAGCTAGCTAGCTAGCTAGCTAGCTAAATAACGAAATCAACTTAATCATATCCATCTCATCTTTTTCATATCTATCTATCTATCTATCTATCTATCTATGTAAATGTTCATATCTATCCATCTATCTAGCATGCTAGCTATCGAGATCAACTTATTCATGTCTATCTAATCTTTTTCATATCTATCTATCTAGCTAGCTTGCTAGCTAACTAGCGAATCATATCTATCTATCTATCTATCTATCTATCTATCTATCTATCTATCTATCTATCTATCTATCTGTCTAGTTAGCTAGCGAATCATATCTCATCTATCTATCTATCTATCTATCTATCTATCTATCTATCTATCTAATTGTATATCTAAGTTTCTTCCATTATCCATCTATCTAGCTAGCTAGCTACTGAACTTATTCATCTCTCTCTCTCTCTCTCTCTCTCTCTCTCTCTATCTATCTATCTATCTCTCTATCTATCTGTCTGTCTGTCTAGTTAGCTAGCGAATCATATCCATCTCATCTTTTTCATATCTATCTATCTATCTATCTATCTATCTATCTATCTATCTATCTATCTATCTATCTATCTATCTAATTGTATATCTAAGTTTCTTCCATTATCTATCTATCTCGCTAGCTAGCTACTGAACTTATTCATCTCTCTCTCTCTCTCCCTCTCTATCTATCTATCTATCTATCTATCTATCTATCTATCTATCTATCTATCTATCTATCTATCTATCTGACATAGCAAAGACAGAAGGTTTGTTTAACCCAAGAAAATAGAATGAAGTAGAAACTGAAAAAAGCAGAACGGGAAGGAGAAAGTAAATGAAATAAGAGAAAAAAAAGGAAGAAACGATAAAAAAAATGTGAAGGTAAAAGCAAGAGAAGTGGAATCAAGAAATGAAACGGCAGAACTGAAAGAAAATGGAAGGAAAAAAGAAAAAAAAGAAAAAGAAAAGAAGCATTGAAAATAAAAAGGAAAAAAAGGAAGAAAAACATAAAGAGAGAAATTTCTAAAGTCGTAATGGATATTATATTTGTTAATCCCACAGATTTTTGTGGTTTTCCGATGCGAAACTGAGGCTATATGAACTTTTATGACTTTAGATCTTGCTTAAATGCAGTATTTGACATTGTTTTCTTTTCTTCTTGGCCGACTGGGTATAAAGCATGTCGGATCGAATGAATGTTTCCCCTATAAAGGGGGACCAAGTTTCGAATACAGCCAAGGCATTCATCTTGTTTACTAATAACATTTCTCGAATATTCAGGCCGGTAGACGAAAATAAATAAATATATTGCTTCATAAATAAACGAAGCGTCTACTCAAATCCGAGTAGCCACTAAAAATAACGATTATATATATATATATATATATATATATATATGTATAATGTATGTATGTATGCATGTATATATAGGAAATGGATTCATTTGTTTAACCTTTATATATATATATATATATATATATATATATATATATATCACGCTCTGTGCAATTGTCAGACGAATCCACGAAACCCAGGGCCCTAAACTCACATCAATCAGCTATATATATATATATATTTATTCGGCCACAAAAAAGACATTTTATGTTTAACGTTCTTTTTATAGATACAAATATTTAAGTAAATGCTCTATTTTTTTATAATAAACAGTATTAAATAACATTTACCGGCCTGAATGTCTGAGAAATTTTCATAGAAAATATTCGTCCTTTGACAGGATTCAAGCTGTATCCTATACGGAACCGTCATTTACGCTGACGTGCCTTGACCGTTCATCGGCTATAGAACCTAGGCGTTCATTTACCCAGGTAGGAGAAGAAATTTACTCCTTATAAACTTCAAACGTGCCTACCGAACGCTCCTTCAATATATATATATATATATATATATATATATATATATATATATATATATATATATATATATATATTCATATCTATATATACATCTATCTATCTATCTCTTACAGGAAAGGAAGAGGATTTGTTTAACTTGAGACCCCCAAAGGAATATGTGAAGAAAAAAAAGAGCTCTTAATGAAAAAAGAATTAAAACAAGTAAATACGAATAAATACATGCAGGAAAGAAGAAAAATAGAAAAAGAAGGTAAAAAAGAAAGAAAGAAAGAAACAAAGAAAATAGAAAGAAAGAAAGAAAGTAAACGGAAAAAAGTAGGAAAGAAAGAAGAGATGAGAAGGAAGAAGGAATAATGAGATAAAGAAAAGTATTAGTAATAGCATCAATATAAAGGAAGGAAAGGATGTAATTAAGAAAAAAAATCGTTGAAAAGATAAAAAAGAAAGGACCAAAAATATTGTGAAAAACAAGAGACGAAACAAAACGCAGCGAAACAGAGGGATTTGATAAAAAAAAAAAAACTGAGAGGAATTCTCTGGAAATTAGGAATACCCGACAATTTTGTAAACAATTTAAAAAAGCAAATAAATAATTTTTTAATGGTTTGAAATTGTGAGGCTAAAAGCGGAAGAATCGTGGAAAATAGGACGAAAAAGAGACTGAAGAAGAAGAAGAAGAAGAAGAAGAAGAAGAAGAAGAAGAAGAAGAAGAAGAATATTGGGACGCTGGTAGAAGTAAATAGGTTCCTCCAGGTGGAAATAAACACACTACAAAGGAAATGAGCAAGACGACAAAGCGAAAATGTCGGTAATTCCAATGGATTCGTGATTATCTACCTCACAGATTCTGAACGGGGTGAGTGGAAGTGGGTGGTGTTAAGATTTTTATTTGTTTTTTATTCTTACCCACAAAAACGATTGCCATTTCACTTTCACACACACACGCACGCACACACACACTCTTTCTCTCACACACACATGTATATGTCTGTGTTTATATATATATATATATATATATATATATATATATATAGATATATATATACATACATATGATAGATAGATAGATATATAGATAGATAGATAGATAGATAGATAGATAGATAGATAGATATTAATGATCTTCCACAGTAAGCCGATAAAAGGTAACTAAGAGGCAACGGGTTACTGAGAGCGGAAAGAAAAAAAAAAAACAGAGATTCAATCCTGAACCGAAAACATGGGATAAACCTCTACTACTGATCAAAAGCTGGGAAGAGTGTGAACCGGGCGATATGTGAGAATTTCTATGTATAAGAAGGTATATTTAAGCGGCAAGTTTTATCAAATTCAACAAGACAAGGATATTGAAGATTCAAGCCGCTAAATGTATTTAATACTGCTTAATTTATGAACTCAGATTTCACTTAAATAAGTAAGTGTATCCATAATAACGTATAAATAGAAATTATATTAAATACTTGTCGGAATTAATCCATTTCTTATATATATATATATATATATATATATATATATCCATAAAAGATTAATATAATATATATATATATATATATTAACTTGATGGAAGTATATATATATATATATATATATATATTTTAAATATATATATAATACATAAAAGATTAATTGTCAGACTTGAGAAAAAAAAAAAAAGTACCGAAAATAACATGTGAAAAAATAAAATTTTAAGAGCTTTTAAAAAAATCAGACCTACTGATTTTAAAAAAATATATATATATATATATATATATATATATATATATAGTAAAAATACTGATTAAATCCTGATTTTTTTTATATATATATATATATATATATATATATATATATATATATATATATATATATATATATATATATATATATATATATATATATAAATTGGGAGGTCCGATTTTAAAGTTTAAAGCACTACATGTTATTTTTTTACTTTTATTTTATTTTAATTTAATAATATATATATATATATATATATATATATATATATATATATATATAATGTGCATTGAATGTTGGCGCAAATAAATGAGTGTACGTTGTATAACAGCAGGGCTAAATTTTAAATTAGTAAGAAATATACATTTTTTTCCTCACTGGTAGCACAACGCCATCTTTAGATGCATTTTTTAATCAAAACATGACGATTGCATTGTACATGAAACTCAGAATTGTTCTAGCGGCGAGATTTTATTTGTTTATTTAATTTTTAATTCTATTTCTACGGATTATCAACCCTTTACAGGTTATTTAAAGCCAGAAATTACTTTTACATTGTAAGAATGTTTTTGGTAGATAGATAATGGTTTATTGTTACTAAAGTCTTACTAATTAACTGTGATGGTGAGGCGAAGACGTGGATTCATACCTTTCCCAAGGATAGGGTATTTGCGCTTAAATGAATCTAATGAACTCAACTGGAATTTGAACACGGTTCTCCTAAACCTTGCTTCGTCATCCATTTACTGAAGCTCGCTGAATAGGCTATGCGATGTTTTTCTTCAATCTGATAGCAGTGAATTTCCGAAGCTAAGCAAAATATTAAGAAACAAACAAACAGAAAAAAATCATCAGGGACAAAGACATGAATACTGAACTATTACGTTATATTATTCCTAAATGTCTGAATGCTGGGAAATTTCCTCACAGAAGAAGAGACATTAGCCAGAAAAATGTGGTTCGTCAGAAGGACGCTGCCAATACCATTTAGTGAACAAGTGGGTAATGTAAAAGCTTTAGAGAAAATGAAAACAAAATGGACATATAATGAGGAAAGACGGCTTAGAAAATTTGATACTCACTGAACAGATTGAAGGCAGGAGGGACAGAGGTAAACAACGCATGAGCAACCTCATTAACTTGAGTTAATGGATGACGGAACATGGTTTGGTAGACAATTTTTTAAGAGCTACAAAGAACAGGAAATTGTGGAGAGACGTGATCGCTAACGTATTGACTGAACAAGGCATATAAAAGAAGCGATACATTCGAAATCTGATGTATGCGGCCAAGCTTTCTCATGGAGGAGAGAAAACTATTTTTTTTCGTACAGGCAAGGGTAGCCCGCGTATCAACCAAATTTTAATGGACACTATGAAGCCACTGGACGGAGTAATGTGAAATTAATTGAATGTAATGTAAATCAGAGAGCCGAGTTCGAAGTCCAGTAGCGTGTGTTGCATTCACTAACGCTCAAATATCCTTTAGAGAAGGTATGCATCCATCTCTTCTCACCACCAGCTATGGGTTAAATAGTGGGACAGATTGAGTCCTACAACCTTGGTTGGCAACCAGTCTACCGTTAAAAGAAAAGGCAACCTACTGCTGGAAAATCTGCCTAGCCAATCATGAAACGAAAGAGACATGATTGCTCAAGTGTGTATCTCCCCAAAATAAAATATACTTTTTTGAAACTTTATTTGAGAAATATTAACTGATTTAAAGTATAATTAATCAGATTTCAAACAAATATTATTTACTTTAAGTATAAATATCGCAGAAATGCATTTTTAGCTTTACAGTAGTTGTATTTTTAACCCGACAGTAGCTGTTTTGAAGTGTTGATAGCCTGATGAGATGTTTAATTTTGTTCTATGGAAACTTAATCAGTAAAACATAATTTAAGAAAATGACGTGCGAGCCGTTTTTCTATAATTTAAGTACTCTGTAATCTTTAACAATTAGTAAAATATTATCCGTTTTCTAATATTTTATTAAATTTTAGAAATATTTACTTTAAATTTACTATTGTCATTGCTCTTATTTTCTGATAATGTTTTGTATGGTCGACCGTACTTACAAAAATGGGCATGTTTGTACACATAAAATATTTCATAATTCTTTTAAAAATATCAGGGTTTGATGATTTGTTTTAAGCATATATATATATATATATATATATATATATATATATATATAATTGCTGACTACTCTTGTTAGAGTACTTAGCGCACGCAGACACCTGTTTAAGCACATGTGTAGTTGTTGTTTAGCACTCAGAATGCTCAACTATAGTTTATAGTGCAACTGTTACAATTGCTGGGGATGCATAATCTGTCATGATCAGCAGTTTTTACAGTGTCCACACACCCAAAACCTTGATCATTTCGTCCTAGTACTACCACAGACTGGAGATCGATGGCAGCAAGGATTCACCTTCCTGATAAAGCTCATGGTCGGAAAGCGAACATCGAAACCATTCAATCACTCGCCCACACATATATTTGTGACTGTCCATACATATATATATATATATATATATATATATATATATATATATATATATATATATATATATATCACTACATTTCCTAACATAGACGTACTGCTTAATGAGAGATCTGAGATTTTATTAAAATGCAAACATTGGAGGAAGTATCTTTTGAGAATGTATGAATCCGGATGAATGTGATGAATAACATTATTATTTTCCCCGCCAACTTATCCTCTTTCTCTGCCATCTCATTTTTTTTTTTTAATTTCCCCTTTAATCATTCTTTCTCATTATATATATATATATATATATATAAGAAACGAAAGTCTTGGTAATCCGTATGGATAATCCCAAGGTGGATGAAATCTGGAGAGCTCAATGTTAAGTCAGAACGAATAATTTAATTTAAAGAAAAAACAGAACACTTTATGGTTCCATTAGTTATAATTTATTTCACCAGATTTTATTTTTCTCTGGATCTTCAGACTTCACCCATAGAAAAATTATATCTCTGGTGAAATAAATTATTACTAATGGAACATTAAAGTGGTCTGTTATTTTTTTGTTTTTTTGTTTTAATTAAAACACACACACACACACACACACACACACACACACACACACACATATATATATATATATATATATAATATTTTTATTATAATAAATTACAAGAAAAACATTTAACATCGCTACACAAAAACGCTCATGTTTCGGAAATATAATGATAATATATATATATGATAGAAATGATTTATTTGTAAAATTTGAAAACAAATCATTAACTCTTTGAAAGTTAAAAAGTGTGGAGGTCTATGGTCAAAATTTAAAAAAAATATACTTGTGGGTGTGGTGGACACATACCTCCCCGAAGCAAGAGAAGGCAACTCGTCTATACATGTGCTTGTAGACATCATAGACCTGCGAGGCGAACTTAGGGAAATCAGTATTAAAGTGACGTAGCGCATGCGTTGTCGGCGAGAACGAGAACGAGACCTCGGTTTCTTGCCCGAGAACGAAAAGAGCTGACTTTTTGTTTCAGAACAGTTTCCATAGAAAGAGCAATAGTACTGTTGTTTACGGTGTTCAGGAAACAGAGTCCCGAGCGAAGAGTTGTTCCGGTTTCCACATTAGCTGTCAGCGAGAACAGCTTCATGTGGGAATTTATTTTTCATACCATCCAATATTCCAATAATTATAACAATTACAGAAATAATATAATATTATAAATATTATATATTTGTATATGTAATATATTAAAATTATAGAAATAAAATAATATTATCAATATTATATGTTTATATATTAAAATAATAGAAATATTATAATATTAAAATATATAATTATATATATATACAATATGATATATTAAAAGGATAGAAATAATATATATATTAAAATTATAGAAATCATATAATATTATAAATATTATATATTTATATATATAATGTAATATATTAAATGTACAGTGTAACCCGGATATAAGAGTTGGATATAAGAGTTTCTTTATCGGGATCCGGTTTGGTCTATTTTATATATTAACACAGGCTCTAATTTGGGACAGAGAAAATCTCTCTTATATCGGGTTTCTCTTATATCCGGGTTTGGTCTATTTTATATACATTAACACAGGCTCTAATTTGGGACCAGAGAAAAATCTCTTATATCGGGTTTTCTCTTATATCCGGGTTTGGTCTATTTTCGGGTTTCTAATTTGGGACCAGAAAATCTTATATCCGGGTTTCTCTTATATTCGGGCCTATTTTATATACATTAACACAGGCTCTAATTTGGGACCAGAGAAAAAAATCCGGGTTTCTCTTATATCCGGGTTTGGTCTATATTATATTTTCTCTTATATCCGGGTTTGGTCTATTTTATATACATTAACACAGGCTCTAATTTGGGACCA